ATCTGTGTGTATCCAAAACGGATGAGTGCCCCTCTGAACCTGTCAAATCAAGCCCTAGGTGACCGTTTCAGTCCATACAGAGGTTTTTTGAGTCTGCACACCTTTCCTTTACCAACATTTCCATAAAAGCCTGATGGAATGTCCATATATACCTCCTCCTATAAATCATCATTGAAGAAAGCATTTTTGAAATCAAGCTAGAACAAGGGCCATGAATAGGTGCCTGCTAGAGATAAAAGAATACGAATTGAACTCATCTTACCTACTGGTGCAAAGGTTTCCAGATAATCAACACCATAGGTCTAAATATACCCTTTTGCTACCAACCTGGCCTTGTACCTCTCTATCTTACCATCGGCCTTATACTTCACTGTGAATACCCATCGACATCCGACTGTCTCCTTGTCTTGGGGGAGATCGACTATTTTTCAAGTTTGGTTTTTGACCAAAGCATCCATCTCATCTTGCATGTCTGTCTTCCACTCAGGTTTGGAGAGAGCCTCAGTAACATTCCAGGGTATAGACACAGAATACAGGGAAAAAGAAAAGCACGGTAGGAGGGTGATAAGGCACTGTAGGAAAAATGGTGTGAAATGCAGTAGGTTGTACACTTTCTCTTCCCCTTACGAAGTGCAATGGGAAGATCAAGGTCAGTGGGATCAACTGCAACAGTGGTGTTAGGGACAAAAACCTTATCATCAGAAAACATAACAGGCTCAAGAGGAATACCTGCAACTGTATCTACCGAATCTGGAGTTTCAGAAGGACTGACAGAGAGTGGTGTGGGTCGAGGATGTGTGGAATCAACCATCATCTGTTGGCGCTGATATTGCTGTGAGGTTGCCCGTAGTGGCTCAGGTAATGAAACTAAAGGTGCAGGTGGTGGCTGAACTGATGGTGCAGGTGGTGGCTGAACTGATGTAGATGCTGGTTGAACTGATGGAGGCACCACAAAAACAGGAAGAGGAACAGATTGTGAGTTCTCCTCCCCAAAACTCTCCCCCTGAGGAGAACCACTCAAGAAGAAGAATGTGGATTCAAAAAAGGTAACATCCATAGTGATAAATCTGCTCCTCGACATTGAGTCATAACAGCAATACCCCTTTTGGTTCTGAGCATACCCAAGAAAAACACATTTCTTGGCCTCAGGATCCAATTTCTTGCGATGAGGGCCAAAAATGTAAACAAAAGAAGCACAGCCAAAAACCCTCAGAGGTATATGAAATATCTCTTCGTCTAGAAAAAGGAGGCTAAATGGCACCTTAAACCCCAAAGTCCGTGAAGGAACACAGATAATCACATGTACGGCTGTAAGAACTGCATCTCCCCAAAACTACACAAAAACTGAATCACACACCATAAGACTCCTTGCCACCTCCACAATGTGTTTGCTTTTCCTCTCAGCAACTCCATTTTGTTGCGATGTATATGCACAACTGCTCTGATGAACTACACCATGTTCTAAGAGATACGTGGTTAGGTCCTTCTCAAAATACTCTCTAGCATTATCTGATCTAAAAGCCTTAGTTCTCACTCCAAAATGTGTGAAAACCATCTGGTGGAATTGTCGTACTAAGTTAGGAACCTCGTCACGTGATCTCATCAAATATATCCAAGAATATCGTGTATAATCATCCACAAACAAGAGAAAGTAACAGAATCCTCCCATGGAAGGGATTTGATATGGCCCCCATACATCAGTGTGAACAATATTAAAAGCAGAGTTACTTCTTTTATTACTTGATTTAAAAGACTGTCTACAATGCTTTATTAACTGACAACTCTCACACTCTAAAGTAGATAATTGAACAGACTCAAACAACTTTGGGAGAGACATTTCAAAGAACTAAAAGAAAGATGTCCCAAGCGATTGTACCAAAGCATACTCTGATTAACTAACTCTGACCCACTACTACTGTTGCTGCTAACATGATGACCATGATGTCTCAGAATCTCATCCAGAATGTAGACTCCATTCACCTCACGACCACTCCCAATCATCTTCTTTGACTCCAGATCCTGCAAAACACAATTACCAGGAATAAAAGTCATAGAACAATTCAAATTTTTTGTCAAAGAACTAACAGACAGTAGGTTGGTATGAAGTCTAGAGACAAGTAAAACAAAGGACAGAGTTATATCATTAGTCACTCTAACTGTCCCCTTCCCAACAATGGGCAGAAACTCTGTCTCTACCAGAGCACAACTGATAGGAACTGAAAATGATAGGGGCATTAGTCATATGCTCAAATGCTCCTAAGTCTATAATCCAGGGAGGTCCCTCCTTACCTGAAGTGGATGCAAGATTCACAATTGCATATGAACTATCTATATGTGCAAAGGAAGTGGTGTAGTTGGCTCCTGCATTCTACTGCCCATCTAGAAGGCTAGATCTGGGTGAACCTTTCTTACTCATAAGTTGTCCAAACCTTTCCAATTTTGTTCTCATTGTTGCTACTACAATGGATTCCCAATCAGTTTGGGAGAAAGGGCTGAAGAGTCTCCTGTAATGGCTACATTTGCATTTCCCTTCTTATTTCTTATCCGAACAGGCATAAGATTTGGATGAAGCTTCTAACAAGTTTCCCTGGTATGCTTAGGCTTCTTGCAATAATCACACACCAAGTCCTTATCTTCCCTTCTAGTCTCACTACTCCCCCTGTCTCCATTTGGCTTAGGTTTTGTTGTACCAACCATAGCCGACTGGTCAATCCCAAGCTATCTCAGTATTACATTCCTCGTACTCTCCTCTCCAGAAACAAAAGCAGAGGCCTGAGAGAGTGTCGCACCCTCCCTAGAAAAAATATGTTGCCTAGTAATGTCAAATTCAGGGTTCAGCCTTGCCAAGAACTCAAAAACAATATTCCTCTCTACCAGTTTGTGATAAGTTGTTGCATCATTTACACTTTCCCATACCACAGTTTCTAAGTGAATTATTTCCTGCCATAGGGTTTTCAGCATGGAGAAATACACAACAAGAGATTTTTCTTCCTGTTTCATACTTATCACCTGATTTCTTAACTGATAGGCTCTGGCTTCATTTTGCTTCTGAGAGTAGGTTTCAGTCACTCCATCCCAAATCTCCTTAGCAGTATTAACCCATAGGAAATTTTTTGCAATATGAGGTAAYATAGAATTACACAGTCAAGACATTACCATGTAATTCTCTTGCACCGAAGAGTCTGTATCTGGTTTCTTCTCCTCCCCAGTGAGATACCTTAATTTTCCATGGGCACCAATAGCCATCTTATCTGACTGTGCCCACTCCAAATAATTTGTACCATCAAGTTTTACTGTAGTAATGATCTGAAACCCAAAAATATCACTACTACCTCCAACACCTAGTCCCACAGTACCGATAGATTTCATCTCGGTATTCCAACTCTCCATTTTACTTCAAATAGTTCAACAGTAAGAAAAAATAGATTGGTGACCTTCAAAAAATAATTTGATATCACACACACAGAAACCAACCCTTCCAAAAGAAGAAAACCCTAACTGGAAGGAAATCTCTCTCCTCCCTACGCCTCCGAACAGAGAGAAAAATGAATCGATCACTTCGGGAGGCCCGGAAAATTTCATAAACCAAACCGCCCTCTTCAAGAAATTAAAAGAAAACTAGCAATACCTGGGCGCCCAAGATCAGATCAAAAATAAAGAGTCCAACTTTTCTAGGATTTTTCCCTGTACTCCAATTCTTCGTGATTTTGATGCTAAACAGTAGATCACCTTCCTGATTTTGATCCCACCAAAAACTCAAAGAACTGGGCAATCTATAGTAGATCAATCAGCCCTTTACTACTTCATGCAATCGACTGATCTAGGGCTACATGAGAATGCTTCAAGAAACCCTAGCCGATGCTCTGATACCAAGTAGAAATCTAATGAATTAAAAAATATGAAAGAAAGTAGTTTCGTGAAGAGAGAAGGAAGAGAGAAGGAGAATAAGAGAATAAGAGAAGTTGAAAGAAAAGAGAACAATGATCTAGCCACCCCCTTCACTTATTATTTATACTAAAATAATAGAACAGTACAAAGACAACTATGCCTTTATAGGGCGGCAAAACATAAAACAACATATATAACACTCAAAAAACATAATAAAATTTGGACTCACATAACTATTGTGGTCCCCACCTCCTATCTAACAACTAACATAAAACATCTACTCAGAAAAACATCATAAAACTAATTAATCTTCAACAAATAATAATAATAACAACAACAACAATAACAATAATAATAGGTGGAAATCAAGGTATAATTAGGAGTAGTCTGATTGGAGACCAAGAGATATCTTAATGTGACATTTTACATTACCCTGGTTCAATAATTCATAACAAGGGAGATTGAGGAGGTGCTGCCCATAGAATTAGAGCAGGTGAGCCAAATAGTGGGGTACATCAGAAGCCTATGTGCACTAGAGTGCCATTTAGACAAAGGAAAACTATATAAAACACTTGTAAGGCTGGCAATGTTGCTAGAAGCATAGTGTTGAAAAGTCAAGAAACAAAAAGTTGCAAAAAATAAATGTAGAAGAAATGCAAACATTGAGATGGATGAATGGGAAAACTAGAAAAGAAAGGATCATAAATGAATTTTATCCAATTTTGTAAGCAAGAAATTTTCCCAAATTTATCTAATACTTCATTGAATGCCTTTCAACTCTAAAAAAAATCCTCCTCAGCATGGGAAATTGAATCCCAAAGTCAAAAACCAAACTTCTACCTGAAAGGTCTTAGTCACAAGACTCACAACTGAAACAATTTCGTGTACTGCAAGTTGTACATTTTCCTGTTAATGTCACTTTTTCATGTTCCTTCTAGATCCTACCAATGTAACATGTTAATAGAATGCACACAAAGCATGGTGTTAATGTGGATGGCTCTAGTTTGTATGATCCTTAAATGTTCCAGAAAGAATCCAAGATGCATTCTGTTTAACACAGTTACAGAAGAATAAACTAAGAGTATAGCTGAAAACTAAAACAAAAAACTTACCCAGGAGTGGTACCAGTTCTAGAAGCAGGACTTGTCTGAGATTTCTTGGCTTCTAGGCACGACTTGCACAATAGCACTGACCTCCTGGTGCCAGATACAGTAAGAGAACCTATAGGCAATACCCATAAGATTACAAATTTGTAATGAAATCTCAACTGAACCTAACATTAAGAGTAAAGCTCACCTTTGCAATTCTGACACCTGGTAGAAGCTTTTATTGGTGATAAACCAATCGCACTTTTAATTGTAGCTTCCAGTTCATCCAAAGGAGCACCTTTACATGCCTCCAGAACATCATGAAGGCTGTTGCCATTCTCCAAATAAATGTACTGTGCTGCACGCTTATTTGTACTACCTGCATGCTGCTCGAAATGGAATGGAGTAACAACCTGTATACACAACATAAATGAGGCATCCATTCAACTCTTTATACTATCTAGACAAGAAGACCATAAATGCAGATTCACTTACAAAAATTTCTTACATTGCTCCCTTTGCAGGATGTACACGAACACAAGATCCCACGGTCTTTAATAGTTCCTTTAAGTCCTCCTTGCTGTGTTATAATAAACAAAGAAGTCTTAAACAAAAATTATATATGTAGGGGTCATAAGGAGACATATATAAGAAGTAAGAAAGGATAGAAGGGAGCTGAAAGACATACCTTCCTGCTACGACAGAGGTACCTGACAGACAACCCCTCCAGTAAACCAGTTTCTAGAAGATCCTTGACCCTTGTGGGAAGCTTGGTCAAGGCAATTTTCTTGGACATTTTCATTTCCAACTTCTTTTTCGTAGGTGTTCTCAATGGGCTAACCACATCACTTGTCACCCTGTCACCTATAGTCACTGGCTCGCTCTTGACAACATCTGGCATGGCAGAAATGGCTTTTGCAATTGCTTCATTCTTGGAATCTTCTGATACAACAGAACCCCAACTCGTGGTGGCAGATATCTCTATTGGTTCAGCCTTAGGTTTCTTCAATTGTGAACGAGTAAACCGCCTAGGAAACTTCTCCTGCGAGGCATTTTGTCCCTCGCTGACGTCACCATGCACCATCACAGTTTCCACACTGGTTCCCTCTTCTTTTATAAGTTTCCTAGTTTCGTTTTTTGACTTCTTACTGCTTGGAGATGGAATCTCAATTGGTTCCTTTTTCACAACTGCTTTCAATAAATTGTTCTTCAGCCCCTCCGTCAAGGCAGAACGAGTAAAACGCCTGGGAGGCCTCACAGGAAATATAGTTACTACCTCAGAATTATCATCGATAACAATAGGCGTTTCTACGGTCGTACCTTCCTCAGCTTGAGATTTCACAATATCGTTCTGTGAACCCTTCTGAACCTGGAAATTTGCCTCATCGTTATCGGGCTCCTCTGCTTCAACAGATTTCATCAAATCATTCTTGAACACAATCTCATCAGCACAGGCATGATTCACGAGGTCACTGTTAGGCTGCTCCTTGCCTACAGACTGTGCCAAATTGTTTTTAGTCTCCTCTTTGCTCGTAGATTTCACCAGATCGCCGTCGGACTCCTCTGTTCCTACAGATTGTAACGGATTGTTGTTGGACTCCGCCTCGGTAGCAGGCTTAAGAACATTACTCTTTGGTTCTTCCTGGAACAGAGAATTTAACAAATCGCTCTTTGGCTCCTTTTTAGTTGACGATTTCACCTCATCGTTCTTCATATCCTCCTTTGCGTGGGAGCTCTTAAGTCTTTTATTTCTTGAATACTCAAGAACTCCACTACTAGAATGACTATTCTGAAACTTACTCGCTCGAGTCCGACCAAGTGAACTACCAAGCTCAGAATGAAACGTCAAGGCAAACCCGTTATTGGTCTGCTCCGACTCCACGGATTTCATCAAATCATTCTTCATCTCCTCTTCTCCCGCAGAATTCACCAGATCACTGTCAGAATGCTCTTTTTCTACATATTGTACCAGATTGTCGTTGGGCTCCTCTTTGTCAGAACACTTCACCAGTTCATTGTCGGGCTCCTCTGTTCCTATAGATTGTACCGGATTGTTTGTGGACTCGTCTTCTGTTGCAGGTTTCACCAGATCACAATTGGACTCTTCTGTTCCGACAGATTGTACCGAATTGTTCCTGTACCCCTCTTCTGTAGCAGGCTTCACTGGATCACCATTGAGCTCCTGGGACTCCTCTGTTCCTACAGATTGTACCGGGCTGTTCTTGGACTCCTCTTCTGTCGCAGGTTTTACCAGGTCACCAGTAGGTTCCTGTGTTCCTACATATTGTAGCAAAATGTTCTTCGGCTCCTCTATGTCCGCGAGTTTCCCAAAATCAATATGGGGCTCCACCTCGAGAAGAGGTTCTACCGAATCGCTCGTCGGCTCCTCTTCGGTTGAAGATTTCACCTCAACATTCTTAACATTTTTCTTCGCATGTGAGCTCTTAAATCTCTTATTTTTCGAATTCTCTGAAACTTCATTACCAGAAGGGCTATTCTGAAACTTCCTCGCTCGTGTCCGACCAAGAGAACCAGATAACTCCGCTTGAACCTTCAAGGCGAAAGCAAACTCGCGTTTCAGGCCGGTCCTAATCCCCGACAACAACACGAACTGCTCTGAATCAGTGCCGTTCGCCATCCGGCACGAATCGACCAATAGATCTGCTATAATATATGCATCTGAAGGCAGAAAACAGATTCCTCGAGTCCAGAAACCCTAGAAAACAGGAAAAGAAAACCCTAAATTCGCCGCCATTAAATTAGATTAAATCCGAAGAAAACAAAAACACACACACAACACGCAAACAGAAAAATCTTCCGAAAAATAGTGTCAAAACCTTCAAATCAACGACGAACAATCAACAGATCATGTAAGAAAAGATCAAGATCACAACAAAGATATTAGGGTTTTTGTGCGATCTCTCGTGCCTTGATCGAAAAACTAGGTAGCGAACGAGACGATAGGTCCACGGTTTCCTGGAAAGGAAGCCGAAGAGGATGTTAGAAAGAGAGAGAAAAAATAAAAGAGAGAATAGATAATCAGGGGCATGTCATAAATAATTTTTAATAATATCATAAAGTAATTTACTTAAAAGCCCACGTATACTTTCCTATTCCCCGAACTACCACTATCTCAAATCATTAATGTGAACCCGAAAGGCATAAATTAGTTAAATTTTGGCTTTCATCCAGGGTTATCTCGGTCTATTCAAACTAACAAGGGTAATTGTTTCGGGCAAAAGCTTTATTTATTTTTATTTTATTTTCAGTAATTCCCGAAATTTTGAACGCGGGAATCTTCGCGGCACGTCGTAGTGGCCAATGGGGAGTAATACGTAGCAACGAATTCTGGAATTTTCTAACGTTAGTTATACAAGAGGAGGAGGATATTTAAATAAATATATATAGTCAATATTGATGTAGGTAGCGATATTTGGAGGGAATCCGTAGGTGGTAATGTGGTATGAGAAAGGGAAACTGGGAAAGTATCCATTTTTCCTTCGCGGGAAAAATGGGAAGAAGTTGAATTTTTGTGGGGTGGGCGGGAAGAGGGGTAAGAAATTGTTGACACGTGGCTAGTGGAATATATAACCGTTGCAATATTTAAATTTTTGAATCTGTTTTGCTGTAACCTTTATTAGGTAAATGTACAGTCGTGTCTAATTTATTAGTGGTATCTTATCACATCCGCGTATCTTAGTATTTTCCTTTTCAGTTGAAGAGGAACTCATCATTTTGTGGAGGTCTAAATCGGGACAGCACGGCCCGTGCTTTTGGCTGGGCCGGGCCTTGCTACCTCTGGGATGCTTCAGAGGTCCGGCCCGGGCTGTGTTGTATCGTGCCACGGGTTATACTGGTCTGTGGGTCAAGTCTTGGGCAAGTCGGGTTGTGGATCGGTCAAATCATGAGAAGTATATTTAAAAAAATAATAATAAAATTAATTAATAAAATAGATAATAAATTGAAAAAAAAAATCTTAAAATTTTATTTTATATCAATTTTGATGTATACAATTGTTAATATATGCAATAATAAAATAAAATTAAAAAATTACAATATAATTAAAATAAATAGTATTCTAAAATTGAATATAAAAATTATACATAGATATATATATATAATATATGTGGGTAGTGTCACAGGTCGAGCCATGCTAGCCCATGTTGTGTCATGCTGGCTAACACAGCCCATGTGCTACAATGATAGACCATGCCAAGCCGCGAGCACATCCAGATTTACAGCTTTAGCATTTTTTTGTACATAAAATCTTGCACTTACCCCACCATTTGGCGAGACCAAATCTTTTCCTCACACCTGGCGCCTCACACACACATCCTATCATACATTGGGAACATCTCCCGTACTTATTTGTTATTATTCACAGGAGATATTTCCAATGCACAATGGATGTGCATGTGAGGCGCCCATTTGTGAGGAGAAGATCCCGTCACCCATTTGGCATCAAGAGGATAAAAATTGGGTTGAATTATCAATGGGTTGAGTCTGCCCAATGGACTTTAAGTAATTATAGTGGTTCTAGTTCTATGATTTTGCCCTAATTAATAAATGAATTGGTTCTGATTCTTGCATTTCCAAATTGATTCACACTCAAACCTGATTATTTTATTAAATATATAATATTTTCTTAAATTTTTATAATTTTATCATATATTGTATTTGAATGATAAATTTTATAAGTATAAATGAGATAATATTAGTTTAAAATGTTGAGTTTATTAATATATATATATATAAATAATTTAGTATTTTGTATCATTTCTATGAAGGATGTATTCTCCAATTTTAAATTTTAAGTTGTTGTTTAAATAAGTCTACCTGACTAGTTATACATGGACCCAACCTGTTGATAGTCTTGAAGTTGGGGGTTGCCTTGTGGTTGGTACCAAAAGTGGTCAATTGAAGCCCTATCGGTTCAGGTGGTTGACCACGGAATCTGCAGTTGAAGTTTTAAACCGAATGAAGAGAGTTTGTCAATGTCTCAGGGGTGTGATGTAGGTGGATCCAGTTTTTGCACAAGTTAAGCCTAGGTTCTTGGGTTGCATGTTGGTTTGGGGCCAAAAACTAAAGGCCTGACATAATTATGAGTTAGGCTTGAGTTGAGGTGTCGGGTAGCTTAAGTCCAATCCAACCCAACTTAGGTTTGTCTAATCATATACATACATACCAACCCAACTTAGGCTTGTCTGATCAAATACATATATATATATATAGTATTATAATTTTTTACATAAAAATATATTTTTTCTAGTTATATATACATGTGCATATGTATAAAATACGTATGTGTGCATTTATAAATGAAATTTACACATATTTATAAACAATTCTACTATAAAGGTTTTCAACAACATGATTGGTTCTCTGTTTTGGCCTTAAATGTGCCATAAATCCTAATCTGGGTTCAAAGTATTGATATGTATTAGTTTGTATTGGTTGATACGTATTGTATCGGGAGCTTCCCTATACAGCCCTACAGAGGGTGTATTGGGGTTTTGACCAGTTCAGGGGGTGAACGGCTTAAACCAGCCCCTCTGAACCAATTTTTTTTTTTAAATAAAACTATCAATACGCCTCTACCGATGTATCGAATATATCGATATTTTGAACCTTGATCCTTTAATAAAAGATTACAATATATATATATATATATATAATATTATTTCAAATTTGACCAACCCATCTAAGCTGAACCCAAGTTGTGTTGGGCTAAGTTTGGGTTGGCCTAAGTTGATTAACTTTGGCTCAACCTCAGCTTGGATGAGACCTAACCCTAAGGTTTACACCTTTATAGTAGGGGTGTCCATAGATCAATTAACCAAACCATGGACATATTTTACAAACCGAACTGGTATTACCGGTTTTTGCATCAGTCCAAACCGAAACAAGCAGTTAACCGGTTCAACGGTCTTTGGGTTTCAGTTTTTTATTTATTTTTTCAATGTTTCTGTTTTGTTGAAAGAACACTCATGATGACAACAATTCAGAAATTGTTTCTTTCTTCGGCAATTCATGATGTCAGAGTCTTAGAGCAGTTCTTCCCCTAAAAAGCACATTTATGATGGCAACGATTCAGAAATTGTTTTTCCTTAGCAGTGGCTTGTCGCCCATCTATTTTATTCACAAATAATTGTTGAATCTTCAAGAAAACAAGGCCCAAAAAATATGTTCAAGAACCTGTTTTCTTCAAAGTAAAAAACACAAAGCTTGACATATGTTCAATAACATGTTTTTTTAATAATGTGGAAATTTTAGAAACAAGAATATACAAAGCAACTGTTGAACTATTTAGCTAAAAAAATTCGTAAGACTATGAGAGATTAAGAGGTATCATTCGTATTTTAAACAAATTTCATAAGAGGTATCATTCATATCAACTATTTTAACTAAAAAAAATATTTGCCTATAACTGTTGAACTTTAAGAAAACCAGAGATTCAGATTCGGATTTCGGAGAAGGAGAAGAATGGGGGAGAAAGAGAACTGGCCGACGGGCAACGACGAGGAGAGAGGAGAAATCGATCGACGGCCAGCGACACGAGCTAGGGTTTTTGTTTGTTCTTGTTTTCTTTCAGAAACAAGAAGAGGGTTCCGACATCTAGCCTGAGTTCAAATGTTTGATCATTCGACCAATATTCTTTCATTTTCTTTGGGCTTGGGCCACTTGGCCGCTTGGGCATGTCACACGTGGAAGTGTGGGGCGATTGAGAGAGTGGGGCTGGGGCGGAAAATAAAATAAAAATATAATATATTGGTCAGTTCGATTAATCAACGGTTTTTTATAGGTTAATCAAAAACTAAACCGATCCTTTGGTTTTTTAAAAAATCAAACCGACCAATTCAGTTAATCGGGTTTTTGGATCAGTTTTTTTCGATTTGTTATGGACACCCCTACGTTATGGTTGGGCTCAGGTTGACTTTCAACCTAACTCAATCCGCCCAAGGTGCACCCTATATATGAAAGATGTAATTTATCGTTTTTGGTAGATCAAAAAGGACACGAGTAAAAGTAGTAGGAAATGATTTAGGTACTAATAATTTAACAATGAATATGATTCTAATTGGAATAAATTAATGAAACAAAGTTCATGTAGTTGATCTCATATAGTTGGGATAAGGCATGAATTATGATGAAAATGTTTTTTCTTTTTTGCCTTGTTTTTTCATGGTTCTATGTTTTATTATGTGTTATATGATAATGCAAAAATGATATAATTTTGTTGAACACGAGATGATGTAAGGATTGTTATGTTTGCTACTTTATGACAGTTAACCACCATTACGTGTGATATAAGCCAAATAGTAAAAAATGCTTATCATTGGAAGAAGCACAAACAATGACATTTCCTTCAACAACGGCTCTCACATAACAACATTTCATTGATAAATGACTTTATTAAATGATATTTCAGAATCCCGATTTCCTAATAAAAGACATTTGGACTAAACACTATTATAGATGGTGTTTGGAACCGGTCTTTTATTCAAGGCATTTCCACCAGTAAGCATTTTGATCTCTCTTTTACTTTTTTCTTGTTTGGTTGAGTCAGGCAATATTCAATGCCTCGGAATCTATGAAAACAATTTTTAGAGAAAACGTACTTTCGACTTTTATTACAATAAAAACAATGTTTTCACTTTTTTTTTTTTCATATCAATATAATATATGCATAGAACCCAGGGTTATTTAAACAAATTCCAATGAATGGCCATTATCTAATAAAATGGCAATGATGCCTGGTATTCTTAAAGAATGGTGGGCTTACTCGTTAACAACTCATATAGAAGGAAGGCACTTCGGATTAGGTAGGCACGATGTCATAAGTACGTTAAATGAGCATTTAGAAATTTTTTTATACATGTCCTTTAAAATACCTCAGCCTACTCTTGAAAAAATTAATACTCACTTTTGACAGTTGTCAAAATATTTATCAAGTGTTTATTTAATGTGCTTACTTTGTTATGCTTAATAAATCCGGTCTTGTAGGTAGCGGAGGCAATTGGGTGGATTGG